AGGAATAGGAGGAGGAGGAGGACGAAGAGGAGGAGGAGGAGGAGGGTGTAGGATGGTATAGGTGAGGCAGAGGAGGAGGAACACTGACCCGGTTTACCCATCATCATCTTCAGGTCATCTCTCATTAGCGATTAAATCTCCGCGATTGTTTTCCTTGATGACACTAACTGAGGTAGACAGCTAGTTACTATTCTATTTATCTATCTATATTATCAATCTCTCTATCTACATATCAATCTACATATCTATATATACCTACGTGTGCCTCTCTATCTATTTATTTACAAACTTTCTTCTGAGTTACGCTAAGGTGACCAATAGAAAAGAAGAAAAATAAAATACGCTCGTAGTCCCCAAAACAAAAACACACTAAGGCTTCGGGCATCACAGGAAACCCGCTTTCACTCTGTCTTTCCTCTATAATGATGTACTCAGATATTACAACACTCTCTCGTGAGTATTTTACAGATTATATTCTCCCCGGGGAAAAAAAAAACTCTCTCTCTCTCTCCAAGCCAGATCATCAAAAAAGATTAGTTGGTTTAGTTCAGTGTCGTTCCTAGCGGGATGGAAGGGGAGTGGAGTTAGACGCCTTAACATTCACATGTGTTCGTGGTCGCTTATACTCCGGTTACTCGGCATTTAATTGTATTTGATCGTTTATATTTCGGTTCCTTGGCATTTAAGTCTCTATCTGGTCGCTTATACTCAAGATTCGATGGGATTTAACACTCAATAATCTCCTATGATTCTTTTATATTTTGTTCATTTATTTTGTTCTTGTATTTTTAGTTGTTATTGATATTTATAGCAGGAATTGATAGGGAAAAATTCAAGTGTTCAACTATGCTCAGAGAGAGAGAGAGAGAGAGAGAGAGAGAGAGAGAGAGAGAGAGAGAGAGAGAGAGAGAGACAAAACTACTAAAGAATCTGCCTTTGTCTGTGTCTGTCTTTGTGGTGTCACCCCTTGTACACCACACCTTGAACACCACCCCTCTTGATCACACCACCTTGTACACCACACCTTGAACACCACCCCTCTTGATCACACCACCTTGTACACCACACCTTGAACACCCCCCCTCTTGATCACACCACCTTGTACACCACCACCTTGAACACCACCACCTTGTTCCCACCTTGTACACCACCACCTTGTACACCCCCATGTACCCTCCATGTACACACCACCTTGTACACCCCTTGTACACCACCACCTTGTACACCACCTTGTTCACCCCCTTGTACCACCTTGTACACCCCCTTGTACACCACCACCTTGTACACCCCTTGTACACCACCTTGTTCACCCCTTGTACACCACCAACCTTGTTCACCCAGCATAATAAGAATACAGTATTGAGTAAGATGAAGCAGCCATTAGGTAGGACTACACACGTTAATATTCAGGAGGCAGTGAAGGTAACCCACCAGGTACCTGCATTTTAATCACCCAGTCGACCAACACCTGTCCGGCACCTACCTTGTGTCAGGGCAGGAAATGACTTCAATATGTGATATAATATTGAGGGTGGGTAAGGTATATGCCCAGGTTTTAAATGGGTACGTACAGTATTGTGTCCTGGGTATTCTTTTTATTTTTCCAGTCCTCTTTGTATTACCATCCCTCATCCCGCAGTTATTACACCATCCCTATATCTTGCCTGTTCCACCACTCTCAGTTCTTACTCTCACCAATTTTCTACCATCTCCCTTATTCCTTCCTCTTCCAACACCCTCCACCTCTCTTTTCCACCCTCTTCCATCCCCCTATCCTTGACACCTCTTCCACCACTCTCACTACCCTCTCTCCCCTTCCCACCCCCTTCACCCCTTATCTTGACACCTCTCAGGCATTCTTCATCCTTCTTTTCCTGCCATCATTAGCGTATTAGATGACGGTGTGGTCTCTTGATGAATGTACCAAGTTCCTCCCCACCATCCACCCACCCACCACCCACCCCCACCCCCCATCCCAGCCATCATCTCCCACTCACCCACGTGCTCATTCACCCTCTATCCACTCACCCAGCTTCCCATTTATTCAACCCATCCACCCTCCTTACCACCCACCTATCACCCACTTATTCCGCCCACTCACCTATACCCAGTCACCCAGGTCTTGTGTAGGTATTATAATCTGTCGCTTTTAATTTCTACGGAATGGTTACTGTGTAGTGTTCAATGTGTGTGTGTGTGTGTGTGTGTGTGTGTGTGTGTGTGTGTGTAAGACAAACAGGACGTCGGATTGACAGATGGACAGGTTATCGATACACACACACACACACACACACACACACACAACACCAAGAACAATCAACACAGCTCACCCTCTGGGCCAACACATCACCTGAGGTAACGGAGAGAGGGAGAGAGAGGAGGGAGGGAGGGAGGAGGAGAGTGGGAGGAAAGAAACGGAAGAAAGAGGTAGAGATGGAAGCAAAGGGAAGTGGAGAGCCCGCAGAGGGGTGGAGTAAGGAGGGTGGGAGGTGAGGGAGGGAGGTAGATGAGGAGGTATAGGTAGAGGAGGAGATCAAAATCACAATCGCTCCTCACCACCACAACTACCAATACAAACAAAAGAGAGGAGGAGGAAGGAAGAGTGGAAGGAGGAAGAGGAGGAGGTAGGAGAAAGAGTTAAGAACAGTAGAAGTAGGAGGAGGAGAAAGAGTAGTAAGAGGAGGGAGTGGTGTGGGCAGGTGGATAACCAGGTAAATTCATATTGTTAATCAACAATACCTGTGAGGCAATATAACTCATAAGAGATACGGTCCCCTGTTTATCTAAGGCTTTTTTTATTATTATTTTTTCATAACAGTTTCCGGTGAGAGTAACAAAGAACTTTCCTTTTGATCATATTACAAAGTCGATCCAGTTTGTCTCTCTCTCTCTCTCTCTCTCTGTAGCGGCAAGTGTGTGTGTGTGTGTGTGTGTGTGTGTGTGTGTGTGTGTGTGTGTGTGTGTGTGTGTGTGTGTGTGTGTGTGTGTGTGTGTGTTATTCTTCCAGGGGGTATTATAATAAACTCGTTTGGCTCACAGGTAAAAGTCTGCTACTAATTGAATGCACTGAACACCTGACACCAATTTTTTGAAGAAGAAAAAGAATGTCAGAGTTGAGGAGACCTTGGCCAATACCTGTCTGACTATGTGTATGTATGTATGTATGTATTGATGTATGTATGTATGTATGTATGTATGTATGTATGTATGTATGTATGTATGTATGTATCGATGTATGTATGTATGTATGTATGTCATCATTTAAGTTACTTCAATATGAATCACTTTTTTACCTCAACGCGTAATGAGGTATTCTTGACGCAAACACCACCACCATCACCAACCAACACTACCATTTCCTCCCTCACCACCATTCCTCCCTCACCACCATTTCCTCCCTCACCACCAACCACAATCACCACAATCCTTTCTTCTTCTTCCTCCTTCTCTCAAGTGACTCCTCCCCCCTCCTGCAGTGACCTCCCCACCTCCTGCCAGTGACCCTCCTCCTTCTCCTCGTCCTCCCTCAAGTGACCCCCACCCCCTCCTGCAGTGACCCTCCCCCCTCCTGCAGTGACCCTCCCCTTCCTGCACAGTGACCCTCCTCCTTCTCTCGTCCTTCTCTCAGTGACCCTCCCCCTCCTGCAGTGACCTCCCCCTTCCTGCACAGTGACCTCCTCCTTCTCCTCCGTCCTTCTCTCAAGTGACCCCCACCTCCTGCAGTGACCTCCCCCCTCCAGCACAGTGACCCCTCCCCTTCCTGCACAGTGACCCTCCTCCTCCCCTCGTCCTTCTCTCAGTGACCTCCCCTCCTGCAGTGACCCCTCCCCTCTTGAACAGTGACCTCCTCCTTCTCCTCCTCCTCCTCGTCCTTCTCTCAAGTGACCTCCCCCTCCTGGACCTCCCCTCCCTGCGCCCTCCTCCTTCCCTCGTCCTTCTCTCAAGTGACCCTCCCCCTGCAGTGACCCCTCCCCTCCTGCAGTGACCCTCCCCCCCCTGCAGTGACCCTCCTCCACCCCTCCTCCTCCTCCTCCCGTGGCCCCTCCCCCTCCTGCAGTGACCCTCCTCCTCCCCCCTCCTCCTCCTCTCAAGTGACCCCCCTCCCCTCTTGCAGTGACCGCCTTAAGCTTCTCCGGTCAGCAGAGCCCTCTGGTGAGAAGTTAAACGAACAGTGACTACCTTTACTGTTGCCTTTTGCTGCTCTCTCTCTCTCTCTCTCTCTCTCTCTCTCTCTCTCTTCTGTCTGTCTGGAGAGAAGAAAGAGAGAGTGGTAATATAAACCAAATCGAATCAATCAGGTGTAATACAGGTGACCGGTATTACCTTATAAAAAAAGAGACATTAATTAAGGTGACAAACAGGTATTTTTCTTCTTGTCTCTAATGTTTATATTTCCCCTCGAGGATGTAATAACGTTTGAGAGAGAGAGAGAGAGAGAAGTAAAAGATAATTAAATATAAAGACCTAACCTCTACTCCTACCTAACCTAACCTAACCTACCCTACCTAACCTACCCCTAACCTAACCTAACCACCTCTAATAAAAAAATAAATAAATAAACACCCACAAACGAACCATCAATCAATCAAACAAACAAACAAACACAAACGACCAGATAATTGTTGTAGTTCACATTAAACACAGGTGAATGTTCCTTGACCTACCTGTGTGCTACTCAATTAAGACCCCGACCAGCCAGGTGATAAACAAACGCACTTTAGAGAGGCTAATCACTCCATACCTTTTAAATCGTCCTCCTCCCTCCTCCTCCCCATCCCTTCCTCCCCTCCCCTTGTCCAGTAAGTCATCCTCTTCTCCCCACTATTTGAGGGAGAGGGAGGAGAGGAGGAAGGGTAGAGGGAGGTGTTGGAATTGGAGAGTAAGAGGGAGGGAAGAGGAGGAGGGAAGGTGATGGAGTTAAAGGAGGTGATAAGGAAGGAAGGAAGGAGGTAAAGCTATGAAGGAGATGGAAGAGGGAGAGAAGAGGAGAGTGGGATGGCATGTATAGAAGAACAGAGGTTGAAGTGAGAGGGGCGGAGATGGAACAGAGAAAGAGATGGAACAGAGAAAGAGATGGAACAGAGAAAGATGGAACAGAGAAAGAGATGGAACAGAGAAAGAGATGGAACAGAGAAAGAGATGGAACAGAAAGAGATGGAACAGAGAAAGAGAGGGAACAGAGAAAGAGATGGAACAGAGAAAGAGATGGAACAGAAAAGAGAGAACAGAAAGAGATGGAACAGAGAAAGAGATGGAACAGAAAGAGATGGAACAGAAAGATGGAACAGAAGAGAGAACAGAGAAAGAATAGAGAGAAAGATGGAACAGAAAGATGGAACAAGAAAGAGATGGAACAGAGAAAGAGATGGAACAAAGAAAGAGATGGAACAGAGAAAGAGATGGAAGGCAGGTAGGTGGAACTAAGAGAAAAAGAGAGGAGGAGGGGGGATAAGAAGGGCTACAGGGATAGGAGATGGAACAGAAGAGGAACAGTAAATAAAGGAAGGCAAGAGTGAAGGAGATGAAGGAGGTGAGAAGGAGGTGGAGGGAGAGGCTGGAGGCATCAACTCGCCCTTGTGGTAACTGTTAATACCTCCAGCCATGGCCTTGTGTGGTATAAATGTCCCCCACCTCCCACCCCATCTCTCCTTCTTACCCCCAACCAACCCCACCTCCCCCATACCTCCCTCCATCCCATCCCTTCCTCCCTCCCACCACCCTCATCCCTCCTCCCCCACCCCATCCTCCATCCCTCTCTCTCAGGTGTGGTGCTGGAGGTGGGTGGGTGGAGTGGGTGGTGGAGTGGAGGTAGGTGAGTGACGGAGACAGAGCTACATTACCCTCACGCATGAGGAATCATGTTCACCTCCTGTAAATTAGCAAATGGTGCATAATTGAAGGACTCAGGCGTAGGACCGTCCAGCGGGGATAGTGCCCTCTTAAGTAAAAGGAACCCAAGTGGAGGATTTTTTTTTCTCTTTTTCCATAAGGTATTGAAGGTGGTGAATTTGATCGTTAATTGAATTATTGAAATGTATAATATTATTTTTTTTTTTGCATAAGGAATTAGTTGATGTTTAAGTTATATTTCCATTATGTCTCAACACATTACGTATAGATGGTGAGCTAATATTTTTTTTTCATCCCTATAAACCACAAACGAAGATGGTGACTTAAGCTGCATACATTACCACGACGATGAGCTACACAAACGCCTGAATTCTTACTCCTACAGCTCTGCGGCTCCCCCACCCCTCATACCCCTACTGACTCCTCCTGACTCCCCACCCCTCACACACACCTTGCAGCTCATGACTCCTCCACCCCTCCATACACGACTCCCCACCCCTCCCACATACCCTGCAGCTCACCTGTGACTCCTCCTTCTACCCCTGACTCTCTGGCTCCCCACCCCTCCACATGCCCCTACAGGCTCACCTGTGACTCCCCACCCCTCACATACCATACCCCAGCTCTGCTGACTCCCTCCACCTCCACATTCCCCTGGCTCCCCCACCCTCCACATACCCCTACTGACTCCTGTGACTCCCCACCCCTTACATACCCCTCCCCACTCACCTGGCTCCCCCCTCCCCATCATCAGCAACAATTCACTCTCTGTGCTATTAAAACTGTGGACTCCCAGTCACTTTCTCGTGAAATTATCAGTTTCCAAGGAAGATATTTCAGGATTTGCAACAGTGTGGTGTGATTGTTGTTGTTGCTATTATTGTTGCTGTTGGTGTGTTGTTGTTAGTGTTGTTGTTGGTGGTGTTGTTATTTGTTGTTAGTGTTGTTGCTGATGTTGTTGTTGTTTTGTTGCTGCTTCTGTTGTAGTTGTTGTTGTTGTTGTTGCATGGGTTGTTTGTTTTAGAGCTTACAACAGGTGAAGGAAGATGATGAAGGTGATAACAGGTGAAATTTGTTAACATAGGATTAGTTTAGTCTGTATCCCTGATTATTTTGGTCAGTCATTAGAATATATGACTCCTGTTTTACATCCTAAACCTAACCTAACCTAACCTAACCTAACATGACCTAACATGACCTAACCTAAAATGACCTGACCTGACCTGACCTAACCTAAAATGACCTGACCTGACCTAACCAATAGAATCATCAGAATACAACATTTCTGAACCAATAACTGAAAGGCTTTAATAATTATAGCGGTAATACCAGAATGACAGGCTGAAGAAGAAGAACAAGAACACCACCATAAAGAAGAAGAACAAGAAGAAAACAAGAACAATAACAACAACAACAACAACATCAAGGCTATGTAATTTCTCCACAGGTGCGCCATGCTTTACCTGCAGGGCTTGGGGGACCGTAATACCAAGACACTGTACTGGACAGATACCTCAATATATAAACACATTATTATTATTATGGAATTCTGGCATTAAAAGACAAAAAAATATATTTATACAGGATGTCCATAAACGATTACCCTGACTAAACATGAGACCATACTGTTTTATAGGGTAATGATTTTTGGTCACCCTGTATATCCAAGGCGTTGCTGTATTGATGTGTGGCGTCGACAATTGATACAAAAGACTATGGTTCGAATCCCAAGGTCTTATCTAAGTGAATAATCTAAATAATTGTGTAGTTTGTAGTGTGAAGTGCTAGGTGTTGAAGTTATTAGAGGCGGGTACTGTACGTAGTGAGGTAATAGAGAGCAATAATAATAACACTAAAATTAACGATAATAACAAGGATAATAATAGAATACAATGAAATGAAACCTAATCACCAACAAGAGAAACAATAATAACATAAATCAACAACAAAAACTAAAACGACAACAACAACAACAACAACAGCAGTACCACCACCACAACCTCCACAACACCACCACCAACAACACCACCACAACACCACCACAACACCACCACCACCAACAACAACACCACCAACAACCACACCACCACCACCTACACCACCACCACCACCCACAACACCACCACACCACCACCACCACCACCACACCACCCACCCACCACAACCCCACCACCACCACCACCACCACCACCACCACAACCTCACAACACCACCACCTCTACACCACCACCAACAACACCACCACCACCACAACACCACACACCACAACACCACCACCACCACAACACCACCACAACACCACACCACCACCACCAAGCTCCACCAACACCATATCTTCACAAACAAAAAATATACAATTACCAGGTACGTAATTTTATAGGAAAATAACCTAATGATACTAATTTGCTAAACATGTAAAAAAAAACAATAGAGCCTGGAAGCAACTACAGAGTATAGGTTGGATTTCATATGGTCCAGCTCTTAATTTCCAGCTGTCTGTCTGTCTGTCTGTCTGTCTGTCTATCTATCTGTTTTTGTCTGTCTTTCGTGTCTGTCTGTTTTGCTGTCTGTCTGTTTTCTGTCTGTCTGTCTGTTTTTTGTCTGTCAGTCTGTCTGTTTTTTGTCTGTCAGTCTGTCTGTTTTTGTCTGTCAGTCAGTCTGTTTTTGTCAGTCTGTCTGTTTTTTCTGTCAGTCTGTCTGTTTTTGTCTGTCAGTCTGTCTGTTTTCTGTCTGTCTCTCTGTCTGTTTTCTGTCTGTCTGTCTGTCTGTTTCTGTCTGTCTGTTTCGTGTCTGTCTGTTTTCTGTCTGTCTGTTTTGCTGTCTGTCTGTTTTCTGTCTGTCTGTCTGTTTTTTGTCTGTCAGTCTGTCTGTTTTTGTCTGTCAGTCTGTCTGTTTTCTGTCTGTCTGTCTGTCTGTTTTTTCTGTCAGTCTGTCTGTCTGTTTTCGTGTCTGTCTGTTTTCTGTCTGCCTGTTTCTGTCTGTCTGTCTGTCTGTTTTTGTCTGTCTGTCTGTCTGTTTTTCTGTCTGTCTGTCTGTCTTTTTCTGTCTGTCTGTCTGTCTGTTTTTTGTCTGTCTGTCCTGTTTTTCTGTCTGTCTGTCTGTCTGTTTCTGTCTGTCTGTCTGTCTGTTTTCTGTCTATACTGTTTGTGTCTGCCTCTCACTCCACGTTCTCCTGCTCTTGACAGGTTCTAAAGCCTCTTCCTCCTCCTCCTCCTCCTCCTCTCCTTCTCATTCTTTTTCCTCTCCTCCTCCTCTTTCTCCTTCTCACCCTCTTTCTTTTTCTCCTCATCCTCAATCCCCCTACACCTCCTCCTCCTCCTCCTCCTCCTCCTCCTCCATTTCCTCTTTGACCTCCTTCTTCTCCTCCTCCTCCTCCTCCTACCTCTCGACTTTCTTCTCCTCCCTTCTCCACAACCCCCTAGTTCTCCTCCTTTCTCCTTCTACACCTCCTCCTCCTCCTCCTCCTCCACCCAGACCTCCCTCCTCCCACCCAGACCTCCTCCACCCAGACCTCCTCCTCCTCCCTCCTCCTCCTCCCTTCTCCTCTTTGACCTTCTTCTCCTCCTCCTCCTACCTCTCGACTTTCTTCTCCTCCACCTTCTCCACAATCCCCTAGTTCTCCTACACCTCCTCCTCCTCCTCCTCCTCCTCCACCCAGACCTGCATTTGACAGTCCACACTTTCCCATTTGCAAAGTCAGGGACCAGTTTCCAGCTGGGTGGACTGGGGGTGCCCCGAGATCGAACCAGCTACCCTTAGGCCAGGAAGTGAACGATATACCCACTGGACACGCACCCCACATTAATACGTCAATACATACATACATACATACATACATACATACATACATACATACATACATACATACATACATACATACATACATACATACATACATACATACATACATACATACATACATACATACATACTAGCCAGCTTCACCTTGGGCATCTCTACAGAGCATCCTGAGGTAACCCATGAATGACCTGTTGTAAATAACTGAGACTTCTACCCTGAGGCGACGTTGGTGGAGGGTGTGGGAGGTGAGGGGGATAGAAGGATAGAAAGGGGATAGGATAGGGGATAGGTAGATAGATGGTTAGATGGATGAGGCAACAAAAACAAGATTTATTCCCTGTGTGGTAGTAGTTGTTGTGGTGGTAGTAGTGTGGTAGTAGTTGTGGTGGTGAGTAGTAGTGTGGTAGTAGTGGTAGTAGTTGTGGTGGTAGTAGTAATATTAGTGGTGAGTGGTGGTGGTAGTATGGTGGTAGTGGTGGTGTATTAGTGGTGGTAGTAGTGGTGGTGGTAGTGATAATTGAAGTAGTGTGGTGGTAGTGGTGTTGGTGGTATTGGTGGTGGTGGTAGTGGTGGTGGTGGTGGTGGTAGTAGTTTTAGTGGTAGTGGTGGTGGTAGTAGTGGTGGTGTGTGGTAGCAGTGGTGGTGGTAGTAGCAGTAGTGGTGGTGGTAGTAGTGGTGGTGGTAGTAGTAGTGGTGGTAGTATTAGTATTGGTGGTGGTAGTAGTAATTAATTGTTGGTAGTAGTGGTAGTAGTA